GATCAAATGCATATCAATGAGCAACTCAGCGCTTGTTGTAATAGCTTTGATTAAATAGCTATTCCTCCTCAACTATTTAATATCGCCCGACAAAAAAAAGATTTCCTGAAGGCCTCTCACTTGCTCAGCAGCGTTGACGCTAATACGTTTAATCAATATTGGTCACTCGGTACGCTGTATACGTTGCATTATCATTAATAGGATCATCATTTTCAAACGATTGCAACTGGAATGATAAATTGCTCATGCTGAATGTCACTTCATCGCCTTCTGTTGTAGGAGCCTTTGAAAGCTCAGGTCACTCCGCACAGTGGTCAGTGGAAACACCACCAGTTTCTCGAAAATGTGTATTTTGAGATCTTGACGGGTGAATATGGTCAGGATTTGGGTTAAGGTTCTGGCGAGATGATATTTTGCTCCTATTTCAACGAGACTGGTACCAATCGGTTCGGGTTGACGAGTGGACCTTTGTTTCATTTTGCTTTCGTGGACCTTTCGCACATCTTCAATGTTAGTATGAAAAGCATCTTCTTCGATCACATGTTACCGTTCTATTGCACAACAGACTTTCAGGTACGACTACGGTACTGTGGTCGTTCATAATCATCAAGGCAGTAAAAAAAAATTATATGATTATTTTGTCGCTTAAAAATCGACGAAATCAACACAATTCCCCTATTGCTGTCCTAATTCCTAATTAAACAGGAACATCAATTGTTATTGAATGGTATTTTTTGAGGAGCCCTTTAGACTGTTTGCAAATTTATAATCATGGTTTCCCTTTGATGCATTTGTATTAGTGGAACAATTTATGGTAATCATTCATTCTAATGTGCAGGCACAATCTCAAAGACTGTCTCTATTCAGTGAAAGCAATCGTGAAATACACATTTCTGATGTATTGTTTCTGATCCGCATGCGAGAGTCATCTCGTTCCGGATAGAAATCTTGCTCCGGTCCGGTCTCTTCTTTCTCCAAATGAACCATTCCCCTCCACCCATCAAAGGCTAGTCGTGATATTAGTACGCTAGTACTGCGAAGGTTTTTGGCATTTCCATCATCGACGTTTTTTATTGTCCATATGATTGAGTAGCCTCGGGCTGTGATTTGACGTCGAGGTGCTGTCGGGAGTGCTGGAATATTACGCATCGGTGATGATTTGTCGGACGGGACTTTTTGATGTCTTTCCGTGTTGTGTTGTTTATTATTGAATTGATTTTAATGGTAAATCGAGAACGAGACATTCAAATAACTGTTACGTGTTTGCTTCATTTCGTCATCATCATTTTAGCAAATACTCTTGTGACTGCCTCGTTTTACTGCTTTTCCTAGGTTTTTGACGGTGCTTTGCATTTCGATTCATGCTCAGAATTGACTGGTCCTTTAGAGGAATGGTGCACTGTTCTTGTTGCATCACTTGATCACATTAGCATTTACAAGAAGAAGCTTCATCTTCAGTGTTTTTTGTCAAACGTGTATGATTTTTTTGTTTTATCTTTTTCAACGAGTATTTGGGAGATTGTTAAGCTGGACCATTCCTGTATTTGCCATTACTGCAGTAAACGTTCGTGCAAGGAAGAAGTGGTTGGTTCTTAAATTTAGTGATTTGCGTTTGCTTTGAGGCAGTATCGTCGTGGCAAACAGTCGATCTTTTGACTCCAAAAGATAGAAAAGATGAAAATACGAATAAAAACGTTGGATCGTGGTGATATCGAATTCGAAATCGATGCTGATGTTTGTCATTTTCATTTCTCATTTGTTCCCATTTTCTTTGAAAAGCCATTTTTCGATAAATTGGAAACGAATATAAATTAGAAGAACATTTATAAGAAGTTTAATGCGTCAACAGAATCGCGCAAGATTCGTTGACGTAATTACAATTCGTGTGGTTGAACTTCGATCCACTTCACACTTTCGAGTTCATTCGCTTTTTTGGTAATTTTATAATTCAGCGTTTTTTTACTTTAGAATTCGCATCAGGTCAGTTGGTTTTATGTTCGACTTTGTATCAGTACAGCTTTGTATCATTATTCATACAATTGTTTCAGGCATCATTGTTGGAATTGCGTAACGTAATCGAGAGTCATACGACTGTTCCGATTACCAGACAACGTTTGATATTCAGAGGTCACCCGTTGTTGAATAATGAAAGAAAATTAGCAGAGTATGGTATTACTGATGGAATGACCTTACACATGGTTGAGAAGCCCTTTAATGTGTCCGTTTTTAGATTACATTTTTTCATTCTTGTTTTCTTCTCATTATTGTCATCCCAGCGGAACTTCATGTCATTCCCAAATTTGAAGTTGTTTTACATATTTTTCTGTCAGTCGTCGTAATTCCTGATTCTGAGCCATCTGAGATATACAATTATTGACATTTCAGCAATCCAACAAGTGGAACTGTTGATGGACAACATGAAGGAGAGGGCTTGGGAAATGCTGATCAAACACATCGAGGAGAGGAACGAGCGCGNATTATACATGTCAATATTCACGAACTCATAGCCGTGATTGCCATTCTGATCGTATACTGTTGGTTGGATCTTGTACTGATGTTTTTATCTGTCTGAAGGTGGTAGTAATTCTTTTTAATCCTCTTCAGTATGATACCATAACAAATGCATGATTATTGGTTTCAAAGGAATTTATTATGTAAGCATTTTAAAGGGATTGGTACGAAGAGCACTGGAAAATACGTTGTCAAATTTGACAGAGAGCACCTCATCGGAAATCGAGTTGCAAGAAGACGCACCAAACCATGGTGATCTATCGGTGCAAGTGCGTATTCGCGGCAATGCGCTACATCACGCCGATTCAGGCGCACGTGAACGTTTATTACGTATCACTGACACGCTGAACAGAAGTGAATCTGTCATGCAAATTCTTAATGTAAGATGTTTTGTTTGATTAGTTGCTTGTGAAATGTGTTTCGATGTGATTGCATAGTGGATTGTATTACTGCATTGATTGCAGGATGTTCTTGTGCCATATTTGAATGATTGGATCGACGAGCCAAGAGAATTCAATTCAAGTGATAGCACTCTGAGTGTGATCGATGAATGCCTGTTACGATTGGAGGAGGTTATGACAGCGCCACGATCAGGTAAATCACTTTTGATTTCGACATTCTTCCGATGTCCTCCGTATTGTTCAGGAATCTATGAATTTTTGAGTATTTCGTCAAAAATAGTAACATTTTTCGACTAGGAAATAGTAACGTTTTTGTGGGTGCTGCAATAAATGATAGTATTTGATGAGTGAATTTGTTCAGTAGACGATGATAAAGAGCGTACAACAGAAGCAATGGAAACAGATGAATCGAGCGGACCGCCATCGCAACCTGAACAGGTGCAACCAACAACCACAAATTCTGCAGGTTTCACTTGTGTTCTGCAGATTTTTCTTCTACTTGAGAATTCTGATTTGACGAAACTATTTTTTAGACAGATAATTCTGTCTTTTTCTCTTCATTTCTGAATGTTGTAAAATGATTCCCAGTCTCGAAGGTCAATTTTGAAGTCAACATTTTAGGTGATGCGAACTCTCCGTCATCAACTTCAGACGCTTCAGCATCTTCTAGCACCACCGCTACAAATCCACCCAATATAATCGAGTTAGTTTATTCTTTGCTCATTTATGAAACAATTTTTATTTCGAACGTAGGTTAATATGTATCATTTGAATGATTTCCACGCTGAATTTTATTCCCTTCGTAGTTTTTAATGATGTTTTTGTTGTGAAAAGTGTCAACGAATCGGTTTGTTGTTCCAGTGTCTCGTCTCAAATCGTTTTCATTAGTAAAGTGATTAAATGAGTCATCGTATACAAACAGTGTGTTGTTGAGGCATTCAACTGGTTCCGATTATATGGCTGTGTTACAAAGATTGACACAGCTGCAGTTCGTACTCAATGAACATATGATACGTTATAAGAATTTGATTGGCACTTCTGTAGCGCCCACAACTGGCAATGTATGNTTATACATTTAGGAAAGTCTTTCTCAATCTTTAGAATGCCTTTGAATTGCAGAATCCATGTGATATTTTAATATGTATCACGGGAAAAATTGTACATAAACAGTAATTGTTTGTTATGACATTGTAATTAGTGGTTCAGTTGAGAGGTGAGGATCGCATATGATTTAACCGAGTCATATGGATTTACTGCGTGTTTTAGGTGTTCTTGAGACATCTGCTCGTGGTGTATCAAGAACAAATCCAACGTCTTTTGCATCGATTCGCTCATATCTACCACTCAATATCTGATATTAGCGTGGACTTTGGTTCAGAGCATTTACCGTCGTCTAGTAATCTTCGTCCATTGGAAACTTCATATGGTCATAATGGAGGCACTGAAGTTAGTTATTATTGGTCGGTGTTCATTTCGGTGGATTGCTGATGAGTGTTTCATTAATGTGAACTTCATAAAGGCATCGAAGATTTATTATTCGTAAATTTGCAATGATTCTTTGTGTGGTTATTACCGCTATGCATGGTGAAATGATGATCTTCTGCTAGAGTCATTTTATCTTCAGAGTTCAACCGTTCAGTTTATTTGAATGACACAAATATGATCACATTGATTAACTACTAGTAAACCATCGCTTTAGAAAGAAATATGCTCTGTATTGCATCGTTTTTGTTTTTGGCAGATTAAACTAATAAACGTTTGCTGTTCTATTCATTTTTTTAAATATCTTTTACAGGTAGTACTTTCAATAATTTTTGTATCGCCACAAGGAGGAGGTAATGCTTCAAATGCTGGGACGCAGTCTACGACATCTCGTCATGAGGTGATCAATGTCACGAGATCGCCGAATGAGCCAGCTCAATCGGCACATTCGATGCTACACGCGGTGACCTCTCACCTAAGAAATACAATTAGCCAAAGTAATCGAGATACTCAACAAACACAGCCCACCAATACGACAGTTGAAAATAACGCACCTTCTGGCCAAGCACCTGTAATTACTTATGCTTCTACCATGGTGCCGCCGCCTCAACAACGTTCATCTCAAATGCCTCGTTTCATTCGTGCCACAAATTTCTCACCAGCTAGTCGCCCACCGGGCAGCTACACTATGAGTGGAGGCGCAAGACCCCCAATGCCTCCACCTAGGGCAATGTTTCATGTTGCTGGAGCGGGCGCTCCTCCAGGTGCACCGGTTATGATTCGTCCAGGAGGCGCTCCAATACGTTTGCCACATTTTGTGTCCACAAATGTGATGCCGTTCCCGATTCAGGGTGCAGCACGTTTTCATTTCACACCCTCAGCAGCACCACTGCAACATCCATTTCCACCTCCCCCACCATCCCAACAACAGAATACAACTCAAAGTCGCGCTAATCAACCATCATCCGGCAATGCAACACAAGATTCCTCAACGACAAATGTTGCCGCACATCCAGATTTCCAACAAATCTTTCGCACGATACTCGGCGATCCTAACATATTCCAGAATATGACCACTTCCTCTTCATCAGCACCACCACCACNACAAATAGTAACACAACAACTACCAGCAACAATGCTTCGTTGCCATCAGAAACTCAGACTCAGCTATCAAGCGGCGAGAATGCGCCGATGACGAATTTGACCCGAGGTGGTAGCGCACCGACAATAGCCACCACAACAACTCAGCATCAGAATCCGGCATCAGCCCCGGGAAATACGACCACAACGCATCAACATCATCACTGGATTACACCACCACCCCTTCTACAAGCGTTCCGAGCACCGTTTGGGCCGGGCATCATGGGTCAAGTGATCGTTCGCACAAATGGACCGGCAGCGAACGTTGAGGCGACCCGTCGTGCCGTTGATGCGGCCATGCAAGCTGCGGCGAGCACAGTGGCTGCAAGTCAAGGCGCGACCGGAGTTCACATAAACGGTGTTGGTGTAGTCGAGGGGAACATTTCGACGGGTGCCGCCGGAATGCCGTTGCTGAACACTTCCACATCAGGTTCAGTGCCACATAATTTGCACTTCCTTTCGTCATCCAACTCCACGAACCCATCAGCAAATCAGCAAAGATCAGTGCCGACGGCCGGTGGACAGCACAGTGGTGGTGGTGGCACTTCCGTCATGGGCGGTAGAGAGTCAATTTCGTGGATTAGACGCGCTTATGCGAATCGTGAAACGCAGCCTGAGTCACAGTCACAGTCAACCACAACACAATCAGACACAACTCAACAACATCCACCATCACCTCATCATCATCATCATCACCCTCAGAATGATGATGTAAGTTGTCATTTCAGGTGTCTTTACTGTAGGTATTGTTTTTGAGATGTGAATTTTCTGAAAAGGTGTTGAGTTATAAGAGAATATTTCATTGTCGTTAGCATTAACCAATCACAAATAATCTGGAAACATTTTTTGCTTTGATAGTGATTATTAGCTGGAATTTATTGTTGCCGTTGGTTTTGAATAGATGTTATGATCGGCTGTTTTAGCCGCATAATCTTCTCGGAGGAATGTTCATTGGACCCAGTTTCCCGCATCATTCACCGATCTATACAACTGATCCATTCCTGCCATGCCAATCGAGATTCGGCAATCCACGTTACACTGTGCGTAATTCGAGTGATTACGAAGCAACGATCGTTTCCGTTCGTGAGGTAATTTGCCTTCGTTTCAATCCTATTTTAACTCAGCATTCTATTTTCACTTTATAAATTCAGTTTACTCCTTCAGTAAAGTTTATTATTTGAACTTTTTTTTTTAAATTGTCATTTCGAGAATCCTCGTTCAGGCAGCTCTCAGATACCAGAACAACTTATCGGAAGGCACACCGGAACGTGAACGAGCCAATGCGATTACTGCTCGCTGGGTATGTTGGCTGATTTGATTCTGTTTCGTTGTATTGAACGAATAATTAATTCATCCTTATAATTACCCGTATCGTCAAAATTTGTTTTATACTGACTCAGCTGATGAAATTTGCGAGTGGTGGTGTAACAGTCAATATCTGGTTTGGGTATGAGGGTGATGTAATGCGCATCGTCACGATATTAAACGTCAGTCGCTGACTTTCGACTTGACACGCGACTAGCACATTCATGCGTCTGAACTGAAATGATTTTATTTAATTGTTTGAAATCGACCAAAAAGATGAATAATCGGATTGAATTCATGGAAGAGAAAGAGAGAGAGAGACAAAATTCTAAAAAGTTTGTTGCAGAATGTGATTCGTGGAGGTGACGAAACGTCAGATGACCATATCATGATGAATCAACGCGGTGAGGCGGTATTCGACCGAGCCGAGCATTTTTCGAGCGTGATTGAAGTGATGATGCGAAGAGCCGTAGCGAATATGGCTGATACGGATCCTGATGTTGCACGACAATTGCATGCGACAAGTGGAGAGTTTGATAATTTTAGTAAGTTGATATAATAGTTCACTTTGGCGAATTCGCAGTTTGTGTTTGTGTGTGCTGAAGGGATAGTTTTTATTGTGAATGTAGGTGATCGTTTGCGGGGCGTTGAGTACTTCATTATTTTAATTGATATTGTCGCTGTTATAAATTGTTCACATAGTTAACGTTCTCTTGACACTTGTTTTGATTGCTATAGCCATTGTTGTTGTGTTATTGATGTAATAATAGGTGAGAAACTTTCAGACTATAGCATCACACCGATTGTGAATCCAGCAATGCGTGCGATTGGTTTACCAATGCCACTACTGGGCTCGATCGAATTAGAATCCTTATCGGCTGATATTGAAATCGTAAGTGTTTGGTCTGTAGCAGTTTTTTTTTCAGTCGGAGTTGACGGTCATGGTTTGCTGGTGATTAAAATTCGGTGCAGTAGTAAATCTGCGTTTGGATTTGTAACTTAATAACGAATAATCCTTTTAGTCTAATTCAGTCAATGGTTTCGTGAATTGCTTACAAAAAGTTTTGAAGTGGCGAGATCATCTAAAGCGAGAGGAGAGTTGTATTTACGCTGCGCTAATGAGTTGTATATTTGAGGCATCAGCCGACGAGATGGATGCTCAACAGCAAGGCGGCAACACGGCAATGAATGTGATTGAGAACCTGACGGCGCAGAATGCTGCTGCCAGAGTGGAGTCGTTGATTGCGAATGCCACTCAAAATGCGACTCAACAGTCACAAAATCGTGATTCCTCTGAAACGTCTGCGAATCGAACTGATACTGCACAAGGTAATAATTGATTTTGTTGTGTTCTCATTTTTATTTGAACTGTATCCTTGGGCTTTATTGCTGAATTGTTCGAACAGGTGTTTGCTTTCTTGTTTGGTATTATTTTTTCTATTGTAAGTATTATTATTGATAAGGTTTTTTTGTTGTTTGCATCATCATCATTTTTATTATTAACATCAATAAAGTAGCAATTTTGCTTTATGCATTTATTTGGTTTGATTTTAAGTTTCATCAGATCACATTTGATATAAACTTAAAGGTGGAGAGAGTGATGGCGATATACTGGAGATGATAAGGGCTTTGTCGAACGGGATACAGTCGGGTCGAAGTATGACGCTATCTCAGATGATGCGCGAAACGGGACAACCGGTCACGCGTTTTGAATCTGGTTCGTTTATTTTCTTTGAAACTTCATTGACGTAATTTCATCACGGATCACGGATCTTCAACGTGTCAAAATTTGATTACAAATGAGAAAATTTTTAGGTTTCATCAACTTAGTGATGATATTGGCTTATGAGGTAATTCAGTTTTCTGAACTTTTGGATCTGTTCTCAAGCGATTTCTCGACCATATACAACAATCGTCAGCAAATTCGACGATATATCATCGAGAACGTTTTCAACGATAACAGTCGACCGAGTCAAGAAGGTTGCTTATCTTTCGTCTTCATAACTATGCTGATGGTTCAATTAGAATTTTGCAACGTTTGAGTATTAAGGAAGGATTTTTTCATTTCTATGAGCAATGCAAATTTGGACTATCGCAAAAAATGGGTCGAACGTTTTGGAACATGACACCTCGCTTATTATTTATCATTTGATATATTCAGTTACAATATTTATTTATTTTTCTGTCGATATTTTCAAATTGCATTCGTTAACGTCGTTTTTGCGGAAGAGAAAGACAGATTGTTGACAGTGTTGTCCTCTCAACAAGTGTAAATTGTAAATTTGATATTAATGTATCTTAAAGATGTGGAAAGTGCGGCCGAGCGGGTGACTTTATCAGAGTCGAGTCTGGATTGTTTTCTGGCGTACGATGATGTGCATCGTTACACCGAGGTGGATGGAGTCGGTCGAGTGGACTTGGTGGCGACTGTTTTGCGTGTGGAACGATATTCGATCATCCGATTTTTAAACGCGTTCTTGACAAGAGATGAGGGTGAGTGTTTCTTATTTGAGAGCATACATACGTTATTGTTGCTCGAGATTTTATTTGGTTGTTGCATTCCTGCGTTCATTTTTTTACAAAAGATGCGAATAAATCCTTGGTGGCATCCCTGCATGGGGAAGATTCTTTCAATGATTAGTTACAGATGCAGTATGGTTGTTTTTTTTTTTTTCTGCAACAAATTGAGCCGTTATACTTCCGATGACATTCATTCCAAGGGAGCTGAATGAGTCTTCTTTGAAAATTTTCATAAATGATGTAGAATTTTTTCCTGAATGTTTCGAAAAAAATTATTTGCGTTTTCTGAAGGCGTGCGTTCATTCTTGAAAAGCGTTTTCATTTTTAAGGTAATATCGACGCAAGACAATATTCTCAGCATGTTGTTGATATTTTCACCGATTATGTGCGTCGCATTGTTGTGATTGCTAATTTGTCGATGACTTCGGGACCGTTTGATTATGAAACGTTACTTCTCAGATACACGGTAAGGTATTGTCAGTTCTCCAGATTTGGGCTTTATTGATATTAATTCTGATCTTCTGTAATCTGGTCACTTGAGACTCGTTGTTTATTTCGTATTT